CAGTAAACATCAAGCAGAAGAGCAGCCTACCTTCTATGTCATCTGGAGCCGTGGCATAAATGTGAGAAAGGTTAAGCTTCAGTCTGTCAGGGCACTCTCTATTTACAGTCAGACTGGGTGATATCACTAGATCTAGCATTTCCTTATACCTGAAGGAAAACAAAGGAAAAATACAATTTATTCATTAATTATGCATGCTTACTAATGATTCAATTTTTTTTTTCCCTAAGAGTATAAATATTAAAGCTGATTACCTAAACCCAGGCTTCATATAAATTCCACATAATAACATTCACTAAAGTTTTTCATCAAAGGGAAATGCTGAATTAAAATGCAGTACTTGCTTCCTCGGAGATTACACCCATCTGATTAAAGCTTTGCCTTTCTTCCTGGATTTTGCCATACAAAACCTAAATTCCTGATTTGTCACATGCCATCAAAGCAAGAGTGTTCACACCAGTGTCCAGTGAGGCTCCAGAAAACACTCCTGCAGGTTGAAAATGAAGCTGAGGGCAGTGAGCACCATTATCTAAGCCTTTTAAGATAATAAAAAGTTAGTACTGGTGACAGGATCAGTTTTCCAGGGGACACCCAAACCAGGCACCCAATTACAATGTCCTGTCCATTAGGTGACAGTGACACAAGGATGGTCCCTTTCACAGAAACAACTCAAGAACTTCAAATTAACAACGTACCTTCGGTCTCCAAAGAAAAACATATTTGTTTATGGGTGCACTAATGGAAGTTTAAAACCTCTGCATTACACAAACAGCCCAGAAAAGAGGACTAAATCGTCATTTCAGACTCTCTGCACAGCATCAGTAGGTCTGTTCATGTTTTCAGTACTCCTTCAGGAGCTGGACCAAACAGGCAGCAGGTGGCACAGCAACAACAGGCCATGGTAACAACCCTCAGCACACCAAAAGGTGGTGGAGTTAAAGACAACAGCACGTAAACCCGAAATTTTGACGACTGGGCTCCTGCAACACTAATCTGTGCAGTTCTGGGAGAAGCCAGGAGGTTTGTTTGGATTTTCTGTTTAAATCCCACCCTATGGCTTTACCAGTTTCGAGAAACAGAAGACAACAAACCACACAATTTTTATCTGCACCCCCCCCCCCCCCCAGCCCCCATCACTTTTACAAAGCCTGCAAGTCCCTGTGAGGGAGGGTAAGGATTGTCACCAACAGGCACAACCCACATCAAGTATTTCACCTGTAACCAAACAGCAAACACCAAAGCTGAGCTCATTTTCACTTTCCCACCTAACAGCTGGGAAGGTACTCTGCCCAGGCAGAACGTGCATGAATCCCCTGTGCATTTGCAGAACTGCCAACAATGGGTATGAAGAGGCACAACCACGTGCAGTGTCCTTTCTCCAGGTGGGATCTGGGGTGGATTCTCCCTCGGAAATCCACGTGGGCACATGCACCTTCATGACCTACACAGCCTCAAGCCCAGGGGCTGGCAAAGGCTCCCTGAGCCAGGGAGACCTTAAGACAGCAAGGAATGACCAATGCAGCAGAAACACAGTGCTCTGAACCCAACACTTGTGTGATCCATCTGCTGTGAGCTACGGATTTTCCAAGGAAACAAGACCAGCATGAAAATCAGCGTTGCTCTGCAGCTGCATCTTCGTTGCTAGTGGGTCTCAAAGGGTTCCACCTTCAGATGTGTCCCTGTAAGGGGAGCACAACTGACTCCCCCTCCCTGCCTCAGACACAAGACTGAAAATGCAGGAGCACAGGGGCCACCAGCTGTGCCCACAATGAGTGTCCATGCCACCAACTGCATGGAAATGCAACAGGGAGTCACACGCACACAAGGACACAAAAAAATAGTCCCTGGGGGTTAAAAATCCTACCTGAGTGACACAGCCCGGCCAAAACTCCTCACCTAACCCCAAATAAAACACAGTTAATGAGACACTTGGCTCGGTCCTCACATCACTGGGGGAAGCTATGCTGGTTTTTTCTCCTGAAATGGCTCAGGAGAAACATCTCACTCTTCTGCTGGCACAACCAGGCTGCTGTAAAGGGCTCAGGAAGACTTTTGTGGTGCTTCTCAGTGGGGCAGAACAAGGTCTTTCCTACAAAGCTATGGCTCTTCAGATTCTCTGAACAGCAACAGGCTGGACAGGGGCTCTTTTCCCAGAGGAATTGCTTTATTCAGAACCACTGGCACCAGCTGAGAAGGCAAGGTTCAGTTTTGCACCAGCTTTTCCCTTCCACTACGTGCAAAGCCCGTTTCTCTTCCCCTTATTACCTAAATGCTCTACCTGACCTGAGGAAAAGCTCTGCTGTCCCAGATCCTGCCAAGCTGGGGATGCTCTGCATTGTTTCTCAGGTAACACATGCCCTTCAGCACAATCCCAAACCCCATCATTCATGACACTGCCCAGGCTGCTGCCAAGCGAACAGGAGCAGATGTTTAAAGGGAAATGATCTTTTTACCATGATGAATGCTCTTTAATTACATCATTGTTCAGAGGTTTCATTAGCCGCTCTCCGACTGATGATTTTTCTGCTGGTTTTTTTCTGTTCACTTTTGTGTTCACCAAGTCACATTTTCCTGTATTTGTTCTACAACATTTCCCTGTTTTTTTTTTTTTTCTTTTTTTCTTTGGAGTATGTACTAGTTGCATGTACAAACAGGTAAGTTGTCATAGGACTGCCTGGCTGGTTGTGCCTGTCACGTATGTGTGCTGTCAGTGGCTTTGCACGCACCATTTACTGATTTATTCATGTGCATTTCTCACTTATGAGAAACTCTTGACAAGAGTTTCTGAAATTCCAGTTTTAACGATGGCAAGCCACAGAAAATAGTCAAGGAATGGAACAGGGCTGGCATTTAACACAGTAAATGACATGCTGGAGCGCAACTGATGAAAATATCAGAGCTTTGTTTGCTTTTTAGAGCAAAACCATTTTCTGGCTTAAGTAATGTACAGTAAATCAGTAATAAAATTTGCTGAATATGAGCTTTTATTAAAATCAGTGATGGCAGCATCTAGCATGCAGGGCTGACAGACATCTGGAAGAGCTTTTGGCTTCTGTAATTAAGAAGAACTTTGTGTGAATTTGGTGCTCAGCTTTTCCATTAGAATCCCCTACTCAAAACCCAGTGCTTTGCCCTGAAAGTTGACCCACAAAATCTCTGCCAAGAACAGAAACTTTTTTAAGATTTAGGAAGGAAAAAAATAGAACCAAAACTATTTTTCAGCCATTATGAAGCTAGGAATCCCATCGTAAGTGTTCACATTTTCAAGTGAGGTGTTGGGGCAACCTACAAATCACATTGTCTTTTACAATGATGTTTTTAAGGCAGTGATTCCAGACCCCAACTCAAGACACCCAAATGTGTGCTGAAGATCAAACCACTGAGCCACCCCATCTCTCTCCAGCAAAGAACTCAAGAGATGGGTGTGAGGGCAGTGCTGGAGCAGGACCCAGTGGGCAGGCTGAGTCTGCAAGGAGCTCTGGATGCTGACAGTGATGAGAAAGTCTCCTGTTTCATTCATGGACAGTATCTGAAAGGATGAAACAGGAAACCACCACGGTGCTGTGGGCAAATGGAACCACAGCACAGCTCTGCCCAGCACAGCTGAACAGCCAGAAGGCACCAGCAAGAGATGAAGAAGAGTCCTTGGAAAGCTTGGAGCCCTGGCTGCTCAGGCACAACCTCAATCATCTCAGTCTCCTCTAACCTGTTATTGGTATCCAAGTCACAACACACCAAAGGCATCATCTGGGGACCACAGGCATTTCCATCCCCACAGAGGACTCAGCTGACTTGTTCCTGGGGGTCTGCACTTTTCACCTGTCTCGACTCCATCTCTGGGGTGAGAATACAGAATTCTGGCTTCAACACGAACATGAAGTGGAACAAACGTTCAGAAGAGAACTTCCAGGGTATTTGCAGTAAATAAGACACCTGGGTAGGATGTAGTCCCAGGGTAAACTCAGTGGCCAAGCAATGAAGAGATTTCAGAGGGAATACGAGCAGGGAAGAGCAGAGCATCTGCCCCACACTGACAGCAATCTGCAGCAGGGCATCTGAGCAACAGGAGGTCGATGGTACAGTTCATAAAGGATATTCAGGAGTAAAAGACAGGAGGGGGGGAGAAAAAAGCTGGCATGAGGAAAAAAAAGGGAATGAGCTCTACATCTGCCATCAGTGGAGGAACTGATGAGTTGGGAGCCCTGCAGGTGAGAAACGAAGACAGAACTCCTCCCTCCCCTTGGGAAAAACCT